TGAACAGCTCTCAGCCACCACACAAGTCAAACACTGCCTATATGTGTGTGATTGTCATCATTCCTACAGCAATAATGTCTGAGGGAAGGAGGCACTGAGATGAGAACCTGGCTTAGGAACACATCACACTTATTATGATGGTCCTTAATGCTTCCAAAATGTAAATACTGGTTTCTAGAGTCTTTAAACCACCAACATTTTACGAGATAATGATTCAGCAAGGAAACACTTTCATCTAAGTGCTGGCATGGCAAGATTGGAGTCTGGGAGATGAAATGTTCTGCTGTAAGGGCCAGGTGACAAAGAATTAGCTGTGGAGACAGCTCGGTGTAATGACTTTGAGACACAGCAAACAGGAGCTGCTGCTTTCTGGGAGGTGCTTTCAAAGGCTCCTCCTGTGTTTGCACTTCTGAGCCTGGAGGACAGAGGGTGGGACAGCCTTTGATCCCAGCTGGAGCCAGAGCCACGAGGTGCTGCCCAAAAGGGCTGTGGGATGATCCTGTGGGATCCTGCTGTGGGACCCTGCTGTGGGATCCTGCTGTGGGATGATCCTGTGGGATCCTGCTGTGGGATCCTGCTGTGGGACCCTGTGGGATCCTACTAGGGATCCTGCTATGGGATCTCGCTGTGGGATCCTGCTGAGGGATCCTGTGGGATCCTGCTGTGGGATGATCCTGTGGGATCCTGCTGTGGGATCCTGCTGTGCGATCCTGTGGGATTCTGTTGTGGGATCCTGTGGGATTCTGCTGTGGGACCCTGCTGTGGGATCCTGTGGGATCCTGTGGGATCCTGCTATGGGATGATCCTGTGGGATTCTACTGTGGGATCCTGCTGTGGGATTCTGCTGTGGGATCCTATGGGACACTGCTGTGGGATCCTGCTGTGGGATCCTGCTATGGGATGATCCTGTGGGATCCTGCTGTGGGATCTTGCTGTGGGATCCTGTGGGATCCTGCTGCTGCAGGGCACGCTCTGAGCCAGCCGGTCTCTTCTGCAGGGCCACCACACCAGAGGACAGGAGGAGAGGATCCATGGAGAGCATTTTGTCACTGCAGCTGTGTCTCTGACACCTCAGAGTGCCTGGCACACGGTCCCTGGCAGCTCAGCACGGGGGGAATGAGGACAGCTCCCACTGCAGAGCAGGGACACTTTATTAAGCCCAGGTATTTCAGTCTGCATTTCCTAGGGGGCTCATGAGTGTCAGTACCACCAACATCTCTTTCTGCTTTAAAGAAAATGAGTTCCTGACACTGAAGGGCAAATACGTGCCAGGGGCAATTAGCAAACACACCGGACAACCTCAGCTCCTGTCAAGGGACTGCCACCCAGCCCTGCCAGGAGAGTTATTACCTCCTGTCCCAGGAAAGCCTATTCCTGTCCCTGAGCATGGTGTCCCTGCCCCTGGGTGCTCAGCCAGTGGCACCTCGCTGCCTTGACAGAGAAGTCAGGGCCCTGTGTTAGAAATCTGGAAGGAGAGCTCTGGAAGCCTGGATATTCTGACAGCATTACAGCTGTATCAGCACCTTCCAAAAGTGGGGTGGCAAAGGAGAGAGCAGCTCAGGGGCTGGGCTGATACCACCCCATCCCTGCAAACTCTGGTCAGATCCCACACAGAGCAGAGCTGCTGCCCTGGGGGAGGCATGGGCCCAAACTGTATCAGATGAGAGCTGTTAGGTCAGGATAAACCATTCTGACATCTGAACACAGTGTTTTGGAAGCACAGGAAGGCTCCTGTACCTGTTCATGTGGGATGGCTGGAGCAGTCAGTGCAGGTGAGGATCCTGTGCACATGCTGACTGACAGCTGCACTTGTGGCCATTCCCAACGTGCCAGGTTCCTCTCTCAGGTATTTCAGCTACAGGAGCTCTTTTTGTGCCACTGCTGGTCCTTCCTTGGCTGGTCTCTACCCCTTTCAGTTCTCAGCTGATGTAACTTTTCTTAAGATTAATGCTTCATCATTCTAGGCTCAGGCTGCATCCCTCCATCTCCCATGGCAGAGGGAACATTCCCTCCCAGACCAGGGACCAGGAGAGCCAGCTCCTGCCATGGGCCAGCTCTTACAGGAACATCCACAGCACCACCACTGAACCCTTGCAAGCAGAGGGGCATCCCCCAGAGCAGGCAGCAGCTCCATTCTGCTGGGGTCCACCTGCACTGCAGCTCCCTGTGTGCTTTCACTGCATCCTGGGGAGATCTGAACCCCATGGGTGGACTGGGAGGAGGGGAAGGGCCATCAGAGGCTGATGGGTGAGGGTGGACACAGCTCCATGCCCTTGATCAGCACTGGGATGCTCCAGGAGCTCAGAAACACCCACCTGCTGCCTGAGACAGACAGACAGGAACTGGGAGGACACATTTCCATTTCTGAAGGGAAGAGGCAGCAAAGGAAGGAAAGGAGCCACTCCAGGAGACACAAGGCAATTCAGCAGATGGAATATCTGATGTCCATTGAGGAAGAGGGCACCTGATTAGAGAGAGTGAACATGGCAGGAACGGAGCAGGAGTCACTCCCAGGACAAGCAGTGACAAACTCACTGCTGAGATTTCTGGCATGGGTGTCTCCTTTTTCTGCTTTCAGGACCAGCACCTGCTGTGGGAGAGCCCCAGAGCTGACACATGAGCAGGAGGGCTCTGACCCTGCTCCCACAGGGCTTTGGGGGCAGGTGAGCCAATGCCTCAGAGCTGGCAAAGGAAAAGCAGAAGCACAGTCAAGCTTGCTGTGGCACATGGGAGCTGCAGGACAGCTGCACACTGCCAGGCTTCTCTCACTGCACAGATGTGTCCAGGAGCTCCCACAGCTGGGCTCAGCTCCTGCCATGCTCTGGCTGCTGGCCCAGGGCTCGGGAGCTGTGTTCTGGGCTCAGGAGCTGCTGCACAGGAGCTCAGCTGCCTCAATCCTCAGCAGGGCCACCCAAGCTCTGGCATTTTCTAGCAACCCTTCTCTGCTGAGGGAGAGGAGCTCCAGCCCTGGCAGAAGCTGAAGGGCTCCATAGGGAGCACCTGGTCCAGCCTTGCAGATGGGTCCAGCAGGCACAGTGTGGCATCAGCTGGGGGATCAACAAGCCACATGGGATGGGGGCAGTGGAACCAGGCCACAGCACAGCCACAAACTCACCCACCACAACCCAAAACAGCCAGTGAGGAGTGTGAATGGGCTGGGCATTAACCAAAGTCACAGTGTTATGACCAGTCACAGCCAAACCATGGAGGTCCCACGGCCTCGTGGCACAGACAAGCAAACTCCCATAAAACATCCTGGATCTACAAGAGCACCAGCAACCCCACTCTGACCCAGCAGCTCCACACCTGAGTGAGATGGGAAGCCCATGTTCTCCCATTCAAGGTAGAGAAACAATCCTCATTTCTCAGAGGAGCTTAGTTATAAATGCAGCACCACAAATTGTTGTACCAACCACCAATACCACAGAAAACTATAGAAAATCTGAACAGTAAGAGCTCTTAAAGTTTTCCTCCAAATCTCCTACTTCAAGCCTCCCCAAAGCTTCAGCTGGAACTGAGACATGGGAGATGCTTCAATCTGTTCTAAACCTGCTTGCCAGACTCCTCACAAACACAGCTTACACTCAGGAGCACCAAAATCTTGGACAGCTCTTGGGAGAGGTCACACAAACACAACCATGAGCTCTTTGCCAAATGTGTGTTCATGTTGTTGTGGCATCCACAAAGACTCCATAATCTCCTGTGATATTCCTCTGATCTCCCAGAAAGCCATGCAGGATTAAACAGATATTCTGTATTTCCAGAAGTCTTTATCTGCCTGAGGTCTTGGAGAGCTGATGAGCTGCACTGCCTTGGGGTGAACAGGCAGAGAAGCTCCCTCAAATCAGATTCTCAGTACAGACCTAGAAACCAGCACTGAGTTTTAAAAACTCTTGGTGGCATAAAGAGGAATCAGCAGACAACTGCAGAGCATGCACACAGCCCACAGCTGCCCTCCCAGGACAGACAGGGAGCAGGCAGCTCTGTACAACACTCCCTGACACAGGCTGGCACCCCTGGACCTGCTCCCCCTGAGGCCAAGCCTGGCTCAGACCGAGGATGCTGCTTGCACTGCTGGGATGCTCGGGAAAGCAGCAAAGAGTGAGCAAGAGCAGGACAGTGAGCTTTGGAGGAGAAATCCTCAACCCAATTCCTTCTGAATTGTCCAAAGCCCTGCTCCCCTGACAATCCTGCTCATCAGAGCACTGACCCACTACTTCAATTCCACCTATGTTTTTTGGTTTGGTTTTTTTCAGAAGAAAGGTGATAACCTGAAGACCTTCACTGCCCCAAGCAGAGCAGGAGCAACACAAGGTCCCACAGGTGATGTGCTCAGCAGCACAGCACATAATGCAGTGCCAGGGCAGAGCCCAGCCTCTCAGCAGGGCTTTAACAGAGTTTGCCATTATCCAAATGATGATGGGAACAAACCTGTCCATCCAGCAAGCACAAGCCTGCAAGGTGCCATGCTCTGGTGAGGTTCTGTTACCTAATCCAGCCAGCTGCTGTGTTGGTGGAGTGGTTTGCAGTAACTTTCTCATGTCCATAGCTCTAAAGCCCCTTGGCCTCCTGTCCCCCTGCATCTCACAGAGCTGCACCAAGCACAGCGGGTGAGACAAAGGCACCAGCAGCTGTGGGGATGCACTGGGAGATCTGTGACACACAGCAAAACCCTTCCATCCTCCAAGACAGCTCAGCTGTGCAAACCAGGAGCAGAGGGAGCCCGAGGTGGGAAAGGTCACCAGTGCACCCCCCTCTCCTGGCTCTGTCCCCAGGCTCAGTCAAGCTGTCATGGCTCCTTCTGACCTGATGGAAGGATTTGCATATGCCCTGAAGCCAGCATGACTGACAGCCCTTCCACTGTTATCCTCACTTGTGTAATTGCAGCAGCTATTCTTGTACACTGAAATGTCTAATCTTAGCAAGCCATGGAGCTGCTGGGTAATGTGGACCAGCCGGGAATTTCCATGCAATTACTCACCACTGCTACTGGCACTTACTTTGGCTGGTAAAAGTCCTTCTTGTCTGCCGACCCCAGGCTCTGCAAGACACAAAAGACAGATGTATTTATTTTTTTACCCTTTGCCAAGTGAGTGTCACTGATGAGGATGTGTGGGGAAGCACTGAAAGGCACGTGTCTGTTGTTTTCCTGCCCAGTGGGTCTCAGTGTACTGGCTGGACAGGACAGCTTGGCCCTCCAGCCACAGGCAGTACCCACAGCATCAAAGATGTAAAAATGGAGAGTTAAACTAGAGGTGAGAGGATGCATTAGATCTGAACTCAATGTACTCTGGCATGTCTGTGTGTCCTGCAGAAAAGTGGCACCTGGTGTCAGAGGGGACTCAAGGCCTGTCAAGTCCCCCCAGCTGGAAAGAGGATGAAGTGCTGGGTTTGGTGGAGGGGCTGAGCCACCACCACTGCAAAGACCCTCCAGTAGGTCAGGGGCTGAGCGCCAGGCCCACAGTTTCTGCCAGGAGCAGGACAACCAAATTCTGCTGCCAGAAAAACCACAGCAGGCCTCAAGCACATGCAAAATAGGAAGCAGAGAGAGCCCCAGTGCTCGCCCAGGTTCCTGTCCCTCCAACTCCACCCCAGCATGATGGATGGAGTAGAAGTCAGAGAGCACCACAGATGGGCTGTGCCATGGTTCCCTGGGAGGGCCAAGCCTCCCCACAGGGCCCCTGGGGTTGCTGGGCAGGGCACAGACCCCAGCTGGGGAGCGTGGCCAGGTGGGTGCATGGCACACACACAGAGCAGGTGTGCAGCTCCTCGTGCTGTGAGGATGGGGCCGTGTACCCCACAGACACCCCACTCTGTCCCCCATCACACCCTGTCCAGAGGCACCCACAGCAGGGCCTGGCGCTGCCTCGAGGCCCCAGGGCCTGGCAGGAGCTGCCTGAGCACAGCATGGCACCTGCTGCACCGAGGGTGTGCAGGGCAGGCCGTGCCCAGCACAGGGGGATGCCCATGGCAGGCGGCACCGGGACAGACAGACACAGAGCCACCAGACCTGACTGTCACCAAAGCTCTTGCACTGCCACAGCCCTCTCCTCCTCCTCCTCCTCCTCCTGCTCCTCCTCGTCCTGGGGCTGATCCTTGTCTGTGCACCCTGCGGGGTGGAGGGCAGGGGGCAGCAGTGCAGGGTGGCCCCGTTCCTGTCCCTGTCCCCGCGTGTCCGTGCCTCTCGCAGTGTCCCTGTCCCCGCGTGTCCGTGCCTCTTGCAGTGTCTCTGTCCCCGCGTGTCGGTGCCGGTGCGTCCCGCAGGAGCCGCCGGGGCTCGGGGCTGCTGTTGGAGTTTTGCTCTGTGGTTGCCAGGCAATGGCGAGCTCCAACTCCAAACAGCGGGAGCAGCGGGGCCGAATGCTAATCAGGCCCAAAGAGCGATCCCAAAGCTTCCCCTTGCCAGCCAAAGCCACAGAGAGCTCCCACCAAAGCCAGCAGGGAGAGGAGGACCCCAGCTGTTAAACAGACAGGGATCCACTGTCACCAAAACATAACCAAAGGGAGCTCTGGCCACGCCAGCAAGATGGGGATGGGGTTCTGGGGTGGGTGACCCTCTCCATGGCACAGAGATGTTGGGTGGTCACCGGTGCAGTGGGGAGGCTGCAGCCACCCCAGGGCACAGGGCACAGGGCACAGGGTCCGTGTGTGACATCCTGGTGCTCAGCCCAGGACACACAGGGTATGACAGTCTGTGTGTGACATCCTGGGGCTCAGCCCAGGGCATACAGAGGCCCACAGGCACAGCTGGCAGCACAGGAGGAGCAGCTCCCATTTGGGGTGAGAAGCTCATTGGGAATGGCTGGAGCTGTGCCAGGGCAGGTTTAGGTTGGAGATCAGGAAAGGTTCTTCCCCGAGAGGGTGCTGGCACTGCCCAGGCTCCCCAGGGAATGGGCACAGCCCCAGGGCTGCCACAGCTCCAGGAGTGCTCGGACAATGATCTCAGGGGTGCACAGGGTGGGATTGTTGGGGTGTCTGTGCAGGGCCAGCAGCTGGACTGGATGATCCTTGTGAGTCCCTCCCAACTCAGGAGATTTTCTGGTTCTGTGTTTCTAAGATGTCACCTGCCCTGGTGCTGACTCTCAACATGCAAGAGCTCTGAGCAGCCCCTGGCTGTCGCTGCTGCTCCTCTGACCCCACAGCAGCACGGAGCTGCAGCAAACCCTACGAATCAATGGCCAGACACCAAATTGGGCTGATCCAACACTGGCACAACCTGCCCAGATAGGTGGTGGATTCTCCATTCTTGGAGACATCCAACACCCACTGGACATGGTCCAGGATAATCCAGGGTAGGTGATCCTGCACTGAGCAGGGGGTTGGGCTGAGAGATCTCCAGGAGATCCCCAGATCTCCCAAACCACTCTGTGCATTCCTGAGGTAGCAGAGAAATGAGCAGAGCAGTAACTGCTGAGGGTGAGTGATGGCACCTGAGCCATGGGAGCTGTCCTGCAAGCCCAGAGCACACCCAGGAACAGCTCCATCCCTTCCAGCACACCATTCCCATCTGATATTTCCTTACTTTCTTAAACTTGCACCCAAAACCCAAAGTGTCAGGGGAGGGAGAATGGATTGGTTTCAATGAAGTTCATGAGCCACAACAAATTCAGTTCCTTCTGCTCTCTGTGCTAGTGGGGATCATGGAGAACTGCTGATACTTAAGGAGAAATCACCCACAAACAGTGTTCTCAATGCCATTGAAACAACATCTGGATAACCTGCACCCCACATAGCCAGACCCTCCACCCAGCCAGAGTGGAGGTCCATGGGAAAAGCTCCCATCAATGCCATAGACAGTGGAAAACGAAGATTTTAGATATCTGAGATAAAACAATGAGGAACTATGCAGAGAGATTAAAGAACCCCACCAATTAACTGGGCAGTGGTTACAGCAATGATGAGCCAAAATTACTAATTTTAATGCTCATTAAGATAATAGCAAATAAGGAGGAAAAGCATAATTTCAGCAACATGTCCAAGGAAGGGCCCTGAGGAAGACCAGGAGCTTTGAATCAGCTGGTGGCTGTACCACCACCCCAAAGTCTGCCCACGAGCCACTTCTTCCCACTTTGTGTCCCAGTTTCCCACATTGCTCAGGCACACCCCTTTGCCTGCTCACCCTCTTTCCAGAAGAGAACAGGACCGTGCCCAATAGGCAGGTGGAGCTGCACAGGTCAATCCCACCATGCTGCATTTCTCTCTCCCAAGCAAGGTGGCCATGGATGGATGCAGGGGGCTCTGGGAGAGTGTCCAGGAAGGCACAAGAACCACCAGGGAATGGAGCAGAGCTTGCTGGAGCCTTTCCAAGGGCAGGGACAGCACAACATCCTGGTAGGAACCAGAGCCCTGAGAGAGCTCAGAGCCCTGCCTGGGAAGATTCTCCTCATCAGGGGATTGGTTAATGAAGAGGTTAATGAGGGATCACACAGGGAATGGGGGAGGCTGTGGGCAGGACTGCCATGGGCACTGCCTGCTGTGCTGTCACACACAAGGGACAGCAGCAGGGCTGGGACAGTGCCACCAGTGCCACCTTGGTCCCACCAAGTATCACCCACAAGAGGGGGAGGTAAGGGAGAAGTGGCCAAGGGAAGGGTGGGATGTAGGGTCAGGCAAAGGGAACACACATCCTGGACCTTAGGGAGTCCTGTCACTGGGCCTGAGCAGTGCCAACACCTCCAAGGGGGAGGGACAGAGCAGGTTTAACAGCACTCACCCAACAAACCAGTGTAGAGGGGACAGGCCCTGACCTTACTGGGAACTGGGACTGGCTTTTCTTTCCCTGCCTGTTCCTGAAGCCTGGGAACTGAAAGAGGCAGAGGAGCAGAAGGGGGCCTGGTGTTTTCCTTTGCCTTCTGGGAGGAAAGATCAATTCCTCCTGGACTGAGAGGGATCTGCAGGCTTCTATCAATGCAAATAAAGAATAAAAGCTCAAACGCCAGCCTGTGTGCATGCTCTGCTCCTGGATGGTCTCCAGACTCCTGGAGCAGTGACTGCTTGTGGCTCCTGTGCATCCAGGCAGAGCTGGGGATGGCAGAGAGGTGCAGCTATAGCGTGGCTCAGCTCCCAGAACAATCTGGGAGCCTCACAGCCCCCCAGACACCTCCTGCTGCTGCTCAGGGTGCTGGGAGCCCCCAGCCATGCTGAGGCAGAGGGAGAGGAGCATCACCCAGCTCTGAGCCCCGCGAGCCCCACGCTGCAGCGTGAGTCACCCTCCGCTGGGACCCACTGCTGCTCCTGCTTGCTCACTCCACTGATGACTCAGGCCTGAGGAAGCACACTTTAAGTCCCTTAATGAAATAATTTTTTATCAGCTTGTCTTTCTAAAACAAACACCTCAAGCAAGGCCTGCATCCATCTCCTCCCTTTTGTCTGAGGCGCCGGGGTGAGGGACTGTGGGGGCAGGAGCAGCCCCTGCTGCCCTGGTATGAGGCACTGGACAGGGCAGCCCCCAAAACTTCCCAGAACATGTGCTCCATCCCTCCAGTGCCCCAGCAGGGCCAGGAGAGGAAGGGGGGACACAAGGCTGTCCCAGATGATGCTGCACATCCCTGGAAGTCTCCAAGGCCAGGTTGGATGGGGCTTGGAGAAACCAGGGATAGTGGAAGGTGCCCATGGCAAGGGGTGGGACAGGATGAGCTTTAAAGTCCTTTCTGACCCAAACCACTCCTTGATTCTATGAACCTGGGCCAAGAGGAATGCCTGAATTTGCTTGTTCAATTTCACTTTTCAGGCACTAATTAAATAATTTTGTGAGTTCCACAATGCAGGTAAGACAACAGCCCAGATTCCCTAGGCCAGCTCATCTCCCCAGCCAGCCCTGCTGGTCCCTAGTCAGAATTAGCACAACATGCTGCAGACAGAAATGATGAGTGACTTAAAGGAGTGTGCTGAATTTCAAAATTCAGCCATGCTAGGAAGATTACAGACCTGGGGTTGGAAACAAGGATGTTCATGGAGGGGCTAAGACAGAGGTATTGTTTTATTTATTTCTCCCTGCCAGCAGACATAAATCCTGTTGTACTTTTTCCTCCCATAAATGTT